GCGTCGTCCCCCGCCCCCTACCCCACAGCCGCGGGGGAGGGGGTTGCTGCGGCGGCGGGGAAGGCGGAATTTCGTATACAGACATCGTCCGAGTCCACTGACTTAAAGGCGCCCCCGCGGTTTTCTCAGAGTTTGTCACCGTTTTGGGGGGAACTGTTACGACCCGGACTTAGGAACGTGGATTCACAGCCCCGGAAGAAGGGACGCACACACTTCTTCCGCCGCGGGGAATTTTGTCCGCTGCGTTTTCGCTTCCCTTTCCTGCAGGGGGCGCGGCCGAAGAAGTTGATAAGAAGTTGTGGGGGACTCGTGCGGTGGCATTAGACAGTAATTAAATAATTTGAATTTCAGCAAAACGCCGCGCAGCGATACTCGTAAGCAAAAGGGCGGAGCGACTTGCAAACAGCTGCTACAGAGGCTTCATTAAGAACTCGGCGGAACTTGCATGCCGATACTTCAATTAATTTTCGAGATCCAGAGCTACCGGTATGGGATTGAGAATCGTTAACAGTTTCGTGGAGTTAAGGCGCTTATTAATGAAGACTCTAAGTTATGTATTCCTAAATATCTTGGTGGCTGCGAATGCCTTGTGCTTTGCTTCCTTGAGAATAATTGAGATGAGCTGCTTTTAGCTGCAGACGAGTTAGACTTTGTTCGTCGGCGTGAAATGAACTGTGCGCGTTCAGCACTGTCTCAAAAAGAATGCTCTCGGGAATTTGATGAGGCTGCCACTTATCGGAGAGCGGTGAATACGACGTGAGAATGAAATGACAAAGTATAATCTCAGAATATGCTCATCGTTTTAGATATATCTAGAACAACGTTAACAACAATTTACATATTTGCTGTTTTATGTTAACTTTAACGTCAAATAATACACATTACAAGTATATAAAAATAGATATAAAAATAGCAGTACAGGAAGCAAGAAGAACCCCTGATAAGTCTTATTCCAGATTTGAAATTATTTTTAGAATGAATGAGGGAGGTGTCTGATGATTTTTGTTTGATAATAGTTTATTTTACCTAGTTTAGTGGGATGATGTTTGTCTTTGTGGATGGTTTGTGTAAAAAATGAGTGTAAGATAATTGTTTTTTGTCTGTGTGTATGAATTTTTAAATCATTCTGCATCACTTGTTACTGGTAAACCACGGTGCTTTTGAAATGATTGCTACGAATTTTGGCTGCGGCTTCCTAAAGGCGCGTGTGCGTGTTCGCGTGCGCAGGATGACCACCGCGCCTTCCGCCGCCAGCTGGAGGACAAGCGGCCCGTGGTGGAGAACAACCTCCTGTCCGGCAGGCAGTACGTGGCCGGCGAGCCACCGCTCTCCGACACCTCCGACAGCGAAGGTGAGTGCAGCGCCTACCCGGTGTATGTTACGCAACTTGTTGGTAATGGTGAGCTTTATTGCGCGGAGCGACGTTGAAAGCGACTTTTCAAACTTTTTAAGAACACAATAAAGCAGCGTCGTAAACGAGGTGCAAATGTTATGTTTGTCTATCAACATTATAAATGTGTGTGATAGGCAATGTTAGTTTTTAGCTTTCCTTTACGCCTAGAAGTCTCCGAAGATTCCTCAAATTGTTTGAGGCGTTATAGATTAGTTTTTAGAAACATCTTTGTGATGTCACGGTTATTTACCATCTGTGAAAAAAAAACTGATCTGTTGTTGGATTTACCGCTACCTTCTCACGATTCTCTTGCTGCGATTGGCTGAATGAATGACGCAATTATTCGTGCCATTAACTCCAAAAACATCACAAATTCTGTGTCAATTTTATGAACATTTCTTGGAACGAAAAAAGTTGTTTATAATGATAGAATACAAAAAACATATTAATTTACATATATGCTGTTGATATTGTTGTCGATTGTACATCAATAATATGCAACTCTACATATGTATGTTATGCAACGAGTTAATAATGTTACGCTTTATAATATTAGTACCTGTTTTGAAATCGTGCTACTTCAAGAGCATTGAAGAAACACTAAGAACGAGTTGCAAACGTAATTTTTGTGTTTACTCTCATATATTTAATAAATGAAAATAATAAAAAATTAATTTTGGTAGCCAATTTCAAAAGCAGTTTTGCAGTTGGCAACTTAGTGGATGTTAGTATCATGACTTGGAATGGAATTTATTAAAATAAAAAATGCAAAAAATATGCATCGATCGATTTAAAAGAACTCAAGGATCTCAGAGTTTGAAACTGATATTTTGATGTTGGGAGGTACTGTATATGAAACCTCAACATTTTCCAATTTTTTTCAAATATCGCTCCAAATTGTTTATTAAACGTTTTCCTTGGTTGGCATAAAGGACGCTTAAGAGAATTTCTACAGGACTCATTTACGTTGAAATTCCTGTTAGATATAAGGGGAGGAAAAGTAGCCGCGAGTGCCCCGTTCTCGCTACTTTTTATTCTGGTTATTCGCAATTAACTGTTGGTTTCACCATCGAATACATTGCGAATTTCATTTACCAGTATGTTGGTTAATACCCCTCTCCCTTCCCAACACTACTTCCTGAGGAAGATCCAGCTTTCTTTTTCCCCTAGAAGTGTCCGAGGATTCTTAAAATTGCTCGACGCGTTACAAATATGTACTAAAACACTCCCAGACGTATATTTTGATTAAGATTAGTTAAAGGAACAAAATGATTTGAAATCTTAACACTTGGCTTTTTTATCCATGTTATTTCCCAAAACTAGAAAATTTATGCCCAAATGAAGACGATGATGGAAGAACGTCATTTTCTGCCTGATGTATGGAGTATTTCGTATGTAAAACTGATGTAGTGAAGTATATCAAAACAGCGTTGTGCCTCCGCCGGCTGAGCCTGGCCGTTCCGATCACCCGAGATCCGTCCGGGCGGGGGCCGGGTGCGGGCGGCGCGCGCTAGGAAATTATTTTTAACTGAAAGAGTTAACGGCGCATATAAAAAGCTTGCAAAAAACGAAGTGCTTTTTAATCTAGTCTTACATAAAGCTTCGTTAAAGATCGTTACGCGATCAGCTTCAATTTTCTTCTTTTACGGTTTTTTACTTTCCTTTTCGCCCGCCCGCCGCGCTGCACGCCCCCCTTTCGCACTCAGCGGCCGCGCGCCGTCCGTAAAACGCGGTCCATTACCGCGGCGAGCGAGGTCGAAACGAGATATATCGAACTATCGATTGCGACTTCCTTTTCGAGAAGGGCGACGTAAAAAAAATGGCGAACTCGTTAGAGAGAGCGAGTGCTGGGCGATCGTGACATCGCCGTCTCGGTGCGTGGGGGAGTTTATTTTTTTTAACTGCGTGGTTGGAAAAAACGGAACGAGTTTACTTGACAAGTCGGTAATCGGGATGTAATTTTCTTGCGAATCGTGTGGCTGCTTTGGAAGCGGAATCATTCCAGCTTCTTGTGCTCCAGTCGAGAAGGATCGCAGTTTCTTGCCGAGGTGGAATAGATGCTTCTGAAGGAAAAATCTGCTAGAGATTGTTGTCGGAAAGTGAAGATAAAGTAGGATTGTGAAAGGATCGAAACGTGAAGCTATTAAAGGAAGTCTCTGTTCAATTCGAAAGTGCAATAATGTAATTGTAATAACTGATTTCATGAAGGATCTTCTTAGCTCCTTTGTTGTTCAGAATATGGATATCCATATTTACTGTACGCTAGTTTTAAACCGTAATGTAATATAGTTAATATCACTGTCAAATCAATGTCCATTGTCAATCTCATTAACATCAGCGTTTGAAAACAGATTTTTTGAATATATCAGTATTAAAAGAGTCGAGGTTCCATTGAAAGAGTTTCTAGGTAATATCCAAAGACGCCTTTCCCTATACTTTTAATATGCTTTGCTTGCGAATGTATTTGCATATCAAAGTACGGATTTTCGCTGAAAATCTCGTGTGTTGTTGGGGGTGGGTGGGGGGTTGGAAGGAAATCGCGGACGTGAAAGTGGGTGTGACCAGAGCCGATCGTTCTCGCAGTTTCGCGAGCGGCGCGGGCGATAACGGCGGCCGTTCGGCGAGAGCGCGCATAAAACGGGTCGCGCCTGGCGCAAGCGATATCGCGAGCCGTAAGGCGCTTCGCTTACTCTGCGGGGCCGCCTCCGCCCGCCACCCATCGCCCGTGTGCGTCGCGTCATCCCCTGCGTTTCTATTGTTACCCCCTAGTTCCATCCGTGCTTCCCTTGGCGGATTCTCTGGTCCGCGAACGCAGTCTTTTTCCAGTGCTTCTTGCGGAAGTATTCCTTGGACACGCCGCTCCGCTTCCTTAACCCCGCGCCCGACCATCGCTCTCGTTGGCCTCTTCACCTGCCTCCGTGCAGCGCCCTCGCGCCGGGCACCCTTCCCATGCACTGCCTCGCGACTTGAGGGATGTCCATGTTTTCATTTCATCGATAGTTCTACAAAAATGTCGATGTATTAAAGTCCATGTTTTTTGAACATCGATGTTTTGTGCGCGATGTTTACACGTTCGCGATGTTTTCGTCGTGGAAAAACTACCACAATCACGATTTTGTAAAAGTTAAAATATGTAATAATAACGGGCCACAGACTTGCGTGTTCCGACCACACCAACGCTGTTTGTAATATCTTCTACCCTCGCACGAGATTATCCTGACGCCGTGGTGTTTCCTTCGCATTTCCCCGTATATCACATAAGGGTAGGTGATTTTTAACTTTATTTACAGTTATCTTTTAATAATAAAATAATATACACTACACTCCACATAAACCCTTTTTTTAATTTCACGAATATCGTCGACAAGAATTAATGCATTCGTGAAACTCGAGCAACAGTAATTTCCGACAGTGAGAAAGGCAAAAATGATTGACATAACTTTCTGGAGCTGTCGTATTATGCTCCAATGCCTTCTGAACAAGGTTTGATGTGTGAAAATAGCGGCTGCGCGCTTTGAATTTTGTCATTACGGTGCGGGTTTGGGGCCAGTTGGAGCCAGCGAGCGCCGAAGCGGCCGTGGCTCCGGGACGCAATCTTGCACCTGCTGCGGTGCGCTCCTGTGCGGGGAGGAGGGGGCGGAGGCGACGCGCGCCTGGGGCCGCAGCTCTTTAGCACTTCACTCGGGCCCCGCCCCTCCCCCTGCCGCCGCCGACTAATGAAGCGCCGCATCGCCCCTGCGGGGGCGAAGTGGGAAGCCAGGAGCTGCGATTCGCGCTTCCGCTCCTTTGGTGGCCCCTTGCGAAGTGGGGCTTTCAGTATCTAACGCTCTGTGTCAAATCGTCAGCACTATAGTGTATGTTTCGTATTCTTTAGAATAAGGGGTATTAAGTTTTTCTTCTCTGTAGTTTAATTCCTGATAAATCACATGATATTATGATTTCATGGGAAGTCTACATGGAAGAAAGCAGTATCCGCGATATCCAGGCCTACTTTAGAACTTGGAATCATGTCTCCAATGTAAAATGGAAGTAAGTTGTAAATAATCCTCAATTCCACAAAATGATGTATATATTCAGTCAAAACTGTGTTTTCGAAAAGTAGAAGAAGTATATCCGTTTTATTTTATCTTTCAAAAATATTATCTAAAAATGTTTAGAGAAGATTGCTTATAATTCAAACGAAAATAATTTCTTATGCAACATATTAATATGAAATACAATGATTTTATAGCCTTCAGTCTCTAAGCATGGTGTAAAACACCTTTTTCAGAATTCTGTTTTCAGATTTTATTCTCTACAGATTTGTTATATAAGGTTGGATTACTTTTTTAAGCATAGATTACAACCAAATGTCTGAAAGATAACTTAAGCAATCACAGTGCTTAAATGTATTAAAAAACTGCATTTTCGACCAAGTTTAATGATATTATAAATCGAATCTTGTGATGGAGAAACTAAGTAAAACGAGATATTATGGCCACGTTAAGCGCCTCAAGTTTCCCTGGTTATATATTTCAACATTTGGCCAAATTAACAGCATCATGATGAAATTTAACACTTTTGCTTCGAATTGATATGGCTATATCACAAAAAAGTGATTTAGGATTATTTTGTCTAAATGCTGAGCTAAATTCAAATCGCCTGTTTCTCGCCCAGGAAATACCTCCTTTCTCTGCTAGTTGATGAAAGGAGCGTAGCGAAATTTGCGTGGTCAGACGGAAGAGCGGGCCTGATGGCCCGAGTCTCCCCACGTAAAATAAGGCAAATTCAATTCAATTCAATTCAATTTTGTGTTTTTTATAAAAGCATTGTAATGTGACGCTAATACGCCCACATATAGGTTTATGGCCATTGGTATTGTGGTGAGTTTTCGTTGGCATTTACAATGAAGTAATTATATGAGTCGTTATTGCCTACAATATTGTTTATTGCAATAAAAGCTTTCGATAGCTTAGCCA